AAAAGTTCACTTTGGAGATGCTGGTTCACAAATTCTCTTTGCTCTCTCCGTCCTCTCCACGAAAGTTATATATATATATATATATATATATATATATATATATATATATATATATCTATATATATATCTATATATATATATATATATATATAATATAAAATTAATGTTTCTTGGGTTTAGGTTCAATAAAGATATGTTACATGTGGAACTAGATTTTATTTTCCATTGCAATCAATCAACGTTTCGGCAGGAAACCCGAAACTGCGACAGGAATATATATATTATATATATATATATATATATATATATATATATATATATATATATATATATATATATACATCCGGTTTTTTAGGCGTTACGCCCGTCCGGTAGGGATCTATGGCGGAGTATCACCGAGCCGCAAGCCCTTATCTCTTGCCGTACTGCTCCACCATAGGCCGATCAGATCCCGGCATATTCTAGTCTAAGCCGCAGATTCATCTAGAATTTTAAACTGCTGCGTTAGACTTTTTGTTTTCTGTACACCGAGCTGGGGCTCGATCCCACATCCACTGAACCATTCGACAGTGAAGCGAATGAGAGGCAGCCGCACAGCCCGCTGAGCTATCTGACCAACTGTTCATAAATCTGGTCTTCCCATGAAAAGTAGGTAGTAGTGAGGTAAATACGGTATAATTCCACCATATCCTTGGACACTAGTTCCTCAATTGAATTCAGAACGTCTTTTAAGGAAATTCTTGTAAATAGGGAAAGAACATCAAAACTAACAGGAATGTCAGATTCCTGTAAAGTTATTCAAAGGAATAGGAAAAGGAATAAGACCGTTTAATTGAATTTGCTATCACAAACAACTACTCTATCATAAATACTCGATTTAAACACCATGTACGTCGACTTTATCCTTGGAAAAGTCCTGGAGATAGATTTAGAAATGAAATAGATTACGTCCTCACCAATATTCGCTGGAGATCGTCCATTCAAACAGTCAGATCATATCCAGCGGCGATATGCGTATCCGATCATACTCTCCTCGTAGCTAAAGTGATGCTTAAACTTAAAGCACCCAACAAACAAAGAGAGATAAAGAGGATAGAACTAAGAAAGAAAGACGACCTTTTACAGGAAGTACAGAAAAGTATGCCCTCTATTCATAACGGAAAATCACAAGAAATATGGGAGACTGTTAAACATTGCGTAACAACACCAGTGGATCGCTCAAAGAAAAATAATCCGGTGAAACGGAAACACTGGATAACAGATGAAACTCTTAAAATAATTGAGAATAGAAGAAATCTTTATAAAAGTGGTATACATAGTGAAAGGGAAAAAGCTAGTTTAAGAAACCTCAATAAAGAAATAAAACGAAGATGTAAGGCCGACAAAAAACAGTACTATCAAAGTATATGCAAAGAAATTGAGAGACATGGTCAGAATAATCAGCCGAGAGATCTATTTAGAAAAATACGCTACCTGACAAGAGACTTCAGAGCCAGAACTTGGGCCATTGAAGATAACACTGGAAACCTGAGAACAAACAGAGAAGACAAAGCAGAGACATGGAGATCGTATTGCAGGGACCTATATAAAAATGGAGTAAGACAAGCTATCAACAAGCTCAAATATGACAAAGCACCAGGTCCAGATATGATAACAGCAGAAATGCTTAAAGCCACAGAAGAAACCGGCGTAAAGTTACTTCATCTACTCTGTAACCAAATATGGCATTCCAAACAATGGCCTGAAGACTGAACAAAATCTACAATAACGGCCATACATAAAAAAGGCAGCTTCCATAAATGCGACAATTATAGAACTATCTGTCTTATATCCCATGCCAGCAAGATAATGCTACATATAATCAATGAGAGACTGCAAACATTCCTTCAAAGAGAAATTCCACAAGAGCAAACTGGATTTACCAAAGGTAGAGGCACTCGAGAACACCTGCTGAATATAAGACAGATAATCGAGAAATCTAGGGAATTCAACATCCCACTATAGGGGATATCGCCATAAGCGGAGACACTTATGGCGAATACTAAAAGAAGTAGGCGTACCACAACATCTAATTACACTTATAACTGAACTATATGAACACACTACTGGATCAGTTAAAGTACTTGACATACTTTCGAACGAGTTTCATCCAGAACGGGGTGTCAGACAAGGATGTATACTATCTCCACAATTATTCAACATATATGGAGAGTATATTATGCGAAAAGCACTTGAAGGATGGAAAAAGGGCATCTCAATAAATGGTCATAAACTAAACAACCTACGTTTCGCAGAATGACACAGCCCTTCTTGCAAATAGTCAAGCAGAGCTGATGGAACTTATACGACTGATCGAAAACGAAAGTCAAATATTTGGTCTGCAATTAAACATATCAAAGACAAAGATCATGATAGTGGATAGACTACACAACAATCATCCACACATAATCACAATTGACCGGTTCGAGGTTGTGAGCTCATACTTATATCTGGGATCATTAATCACAAACACAGGGTCATTACAAGAAGAGATTAAACATAGATGTAATCTAGCAAAAGTTGTCACAGCAAAAATGACCAAAATATGGAAGAAATGTCAAATTTCAAGAGCGATAAAGATGAGGTTGATCATGGTTGATAAAGATGAGGTTAAACAAAAAGTTTAATAACTCAACTTTGCTTTATTTCAACATCGGTTCTTAACACTCTTTCATCTGCACTATTAATCTGCCACAGTTGGGTTAAGTCCTTTGAAGACTTGTCCCTTGATTTAGAAATGCTCTATAACCTTTTTATTCCTCGGGTGTTTTAACTCTTTATGAAGTTGTGCAGACGATCTTTCCATAGGAGTGGCTACAACGCATTTTTTTTGCCTCTTTGTTATTTTGTATCAAAGAGGAAAGCAAAGCGACTATATATTTCTTCTCTTGTACCAATATGTTTTGGTACACAGCATATTTTTTTATTCAAATTCTTTATGAAATGGGTTATTTTTTCTGTTATTTGATTTATTTCCATTTCCTCTAGTCTTTCTGTTGGATTAAGTCTTGTCTAAGGGTCGTTCTGATATTATATACCCTGTCAATACAATATTAACCAAAGTTATTGCAGATAAAATTGATCTTTATTAATTTGTTTTACATATATGTACATATTTATACACTAATTTAATTCTATATTTTGTAATTTTATTAATACTTCACACCCAAGAGAGCAGCTCCAACACAAACAAAAATCAGAGTTGAAGGACTAAATATGCAATCAAGGAATACTTTCTGATTAATGAGAGGTATGCTGGGAATAAAACATTAGAAAACGATAACATCGAAGAAAACTGCTAAAATCTTAAAAAATAACATAATTAACACAACAAAAGAATCACTAGGGGAGAGAAAAGTAACGAACATATTAAAAAAGAAAACCCTTGGGTGGAAGTGGTGTTTTTCCCTAATCAGAAGGTAAAAACAAAATATGAAGAAAAGAGGAACGCTACAAATCACAAAGAATACAACAGATATACCGTAGACAAATAACAATGTAATAATGGTAGAGTTTCTTAAAACAGATGGAACATGACTCCTACGGAACCCAAAAAGAACTATGAAAAATAATTAGAGGACAAGGAAAAGAGACGAACAAACTAACAAAAACAAAACACATTTGGAAGGAAACATAGTTTCGAGCTCTATTTGCTAAAGGTGTCGATAATGAACTAACAACACCAGAAGTAACGACAAACAAAGAGATACATTTTGAGGAGGAAGAGGTAAAGGAAAAGAGGTTAGGAAAATAAAAAAAAGAAGATCACTAGAAGAGGACATAATACCGAATGAACTCGTAAAGTATGTAAGACAAGATTTGACTATACAACTATTAAAACTAATCCAACAAATAATAGAACAAAACAGAATACCACAAGAATGGAAATCAAGCATCTTTATACTTCTCTTTAAAAAGAGAGACAAATCAGAACCGGACAATTACAGGGAAATTAATTTATTAAACACAACCCCAAAATAAACAACCAAAATGATAACAATAAACTAAATGAAATTATACCACTAGCAGAAGAAAAACAAGGTGTTAGCTCAATAAGTGGCATTTGACAGGGATAAGTTAAAATCGTTTGTTCGCAAGAGAGATACTACCAGGAATAATTAAAATAAAAGAAAATCTACCAAGAAATTATAATAAATGCAAAAGTAGAAGACGAACTAACTGACCCAGTTGAAACTAGCAATGAAATAGGATAGGAAGATTCCCCGAGTCCTCTATTGTTTAACCTGATCATGAATGAAATAAAAAAAGGAAGAGCTAAAGAAGGATATCAAATAAGACAAAAATAACTTAAAACACAGACGATGACAGTAAACGATGCTTAAAGTAAAGATAATTTACAACGTATGCTGCAGCAATTTTATATAACCGCCAGAAAATTTTAACATGTTAATTTCCTCAAAAAAGATCAAATGCATGGTTATAACAGCAAATTTATTTAAATTAAATTGGAGTTAAAAGGTCAGATAATAGAACAAGTGATGAAGTTTAAATATCTTGGCATCACACTATCCAGCTACGAAAAGATAGATAGATATACGAGACAGAAGTGGAAAATCAAGTAAATGCAGCAAATAGAGCTGCAGGTTGCCTGAATGAAACAATATGGAGAAATAAAAATTTTGAAAAAGAAATGAAAGGCACAAGTTACAAAACAGTCATCACACCAATAAGACATACGCGACACAAAAATAATGTTAAATGTCAACAAATGTAAAGACATCGAGAGAGGGTTCCCCAATAAGAAGACGATCGGTAGAAAGACCACGAAAATGATGAAATGACAATTTACTGGAGGCACATTAAAAAACAGACAGTGATGCCTCCCTAAAAAAGAAGAAGAAAAAGCAATTTTATTATGGATATAGTGTTTCGCATGGACATAAAGTTAAAGTTACAAATATAAAATAGTGATGACTCTAAAAACAATAATATTTACTTACCTCGTGATATCCCAAACTTCCTCTTATTCCCGTATAAAGTCCTCTTTCGCCTGGGCCAAGTACTTCTGAGTATAGTTCGGTTTTGGTTCTATCTGCAAGAGTGAAAGTTCGGCCGTAAGTTGGAAGTCCAAGATTAATTTTTGAAGAATCTGCATTTTTGTACAGCCAGTATTCTAAACCAGTAGCCTAAAAATTTATATAAGAGTATTTTATAAAAGTCCTAATTTTTAGGTAATAATGTTAGGGTTAGGATAAAAAAGTATAAATATATAAAGCAAAATAGAGAAACATATAAGTAGTAAAAGTTTTTAAAATTTATACTGCCAAAAAGACTAACAATACTAAAATAAAACCAGTGATAAAATTAAGCAATTTAAGGTTGAGTAGAATAGACATACTAGAGAAAATATAGATTAAAGAAACTAGAAATATATAATAACAAACATATAAATTACTAAATTATATGATATTATTATCACTATGATCCAGCGTTCAAAGTTGAACAGGCCTCCCCTAATTAACTAAAGTTATATCGGTCTTCCCGCAGCCAATTCCCAGCGATTCTTTTGACGTAATTCATGCATCGTGTAGGTGGTCTACCTCTGCTTCTTCTGTCAGCTCGCGGTCACCACACTGTAATTTTCTGGGTCCAATGCCCATCATTCATTCTGTCCACATGACCTGCAAAGTTCAACTTCAGTTATGCTATAAGCTCTATGATATTTGTAACGCCTGTTCTTAGTTCTGAGTTAAAAAAGTGTTTCAGCGCTATAAGTACTAAAATGACTGAAAGCACACATTGAAGATGCCTGGAAGAGCTCTATACGTGACCCATGCTAAACAGATTTTTCTTTGCAGCTCAGCAGTTTGCTATTTATATTTATGAACCAATCTTATTTCGTTGCAGTCGACTTTTAGTTGTTCGCTTCGTAACAGATTTGTTATGTATTGTGTATTTCCAAAAAAATGATGTTTAAACCAACTTCGTTACAGGCAGCATCTAACTCAGTAAACATCATTCCAATCTCTTTTAAGTTATCGGTTATCAGAACAATGTCATCCGCAAATCGTAGGTGGGAAAGCATTTTTCCGTCGACATTGATTCCTTTGGCTTCCCACTCCAATTTTTTGAGATTAGGTTCCAGACGTGCCGTAAAGAATTTGGGAGATAACGTGTCTCCTTGTCTGATTCCTGTATGGTTTTTTATAAAGTTTATATATATGTGTAGTCTTACGGTCATAATTCTATTATTCGCGATCAGTTAGAAATACCGATAATCTATGCGACTTTCCTCCAATGCTCTGATTATGCTATTCATTTCTATGGTATCGAATGCTTTGCAAAAGTCTACGAAAGCTAGAGAAAATAGTCGGTTGTATTCAATGAATTTTCTATAATTCCTTTATACAGTAGAGGTGGTCGTTGGTGCCTTAAACCTGCCTGTTTCCTAGGTTATTAAAAATCTAATTTTGTTTCCAGTCTATTTTTTATTACTCTTGTGAGTAGAGAACTTGTACAGGTGGTTTATAAGGCTTATGGATTGGTAATCCTTGAGGTCTGTTGAATCACTATTTTTTATAATACAGTGGTAAGTGCACTGTGCCATCTTATAGGTGCTTTACTTTGGTGCAGACATAAGTTGAACAATTTCTTTATATTCTCTAAAAGTCTGTCTCTTTCAATCTTAACGGCTTCTATAACGATATTATTTTCTCCTGCGGCTTTATTTCTTGTCATTTTTTAAGTACGTTTCTTATTTTGTCTAATGATATATTAGGCATCAATCCTTATCCTTGACTGACTTTTCAAAGTTTTCAAAATTTTCTGTTAGTTGTTTGTCATGGTTTATTAAATTTGTATAGAAATCTTTTACTACCCTTAATTTTAAGACAATTCATCTTTATTGGTTATGATATTTTCATCTTTATTCTTTAGTTTTATTATTTCTTTTTTACCATTTTTCAATTTTTTTCCTACGAATTTGAGACCCTTGATATTTTTTATGGTTTGTTGGATTTGTTTACTTCTAAGCTTTTAGATTTTTAAGTTTTGCTTTGATAGATGTATTTGGTGAAAAGCTTAGACAAAGCCTGGATACTTTTATTTCAACCTAGTTTGATCGCTTTGATCACTACTCCGTCATCCCCAGTGGATTTGTTATAAATGAAAAATAAGAAATTTCCTGGCAACGACGGAGTAGTGATCAAAGCAATCAAACTAGATTTAAATAAAATTATACAGGCTTTGGCCAAGCTCTTCACCGAATGCATCTACCAAGGAAAAACTTCGTCTCAATGAAACAATGCAGTTATTATTTTATTACAGAAGCAATAACACATAACGGATTTAAAAAACTACCGTCCTATAAGTTTACTTTCACACATATATAAAGTTTTCATAAAAACTATCAAAAAAAAAGACTTGACATTAAATTAGACTTCTAACAACCTAGAAGTCTGCAGAATACAACAAACCCTTTACGCTGATATTTCTTGACTACGAGAAAGCATTCAATACCATAAGCTAGCAGAAAATGTTAAAAGCATTGACAGAATGCCAAATAGACCATCGCTACATTAACATTTCTCTCTCCAAAGCTATTCACAACACTTTTAGAACATACTTGTAAGAAGGCACATCTGAACGAGCATGGTATTAACATAAATGGAGAGAAGCTCATTCATCTGAGATTTGCAGATGACATTGTCCTGATAGCCGATCGTATGGATAATGCAATAGTAATGTTTAAAAAATTATATCACGCTTCCTGTAGGTCGGATTAAAGATTAGTATCAACAAGACGCAAATAATAACTACTCTAATGCTAAATCGAAATATTGCTATTGATGGAAAAGATATTGTACAGACTACATCGTATAAGTACTTAGGACATGAAATTGGGTTGGACAGAGATACCCACACATGTGAGCTCCCACGTCCATAGGATTAGCTTGCGCAGCGTTTGGTAAATTAAACTATGTATTTAAATGGAATCTACCCATATACCACACAAGGAAAATCTTTGACAAATGTGTGGTACCTTCTTTTACTTATAGAGCAGAAACATTAACACTCACAAAAAAGGTAGTTAATAAGATTCACGTGACTCAGAGGGCCATGGAGCGCCAGATGTTAGGTGTCTCTTTGAGAGACCGAATCTCAAACGAAGAAATACATTGTAGCATAAAAAAAACGTACGCCATCGAAAAAATCGCGACGATAAGATGGAATTGGGTAGAATACGTCACCAGATTATCAGACAAAGATGGACAAAACGTATTTTATAGGGGGGATCAAGACAAGAAGCAATATGGAGCAAAGGATGCCCATCAACTAGATGGACTGATGACCTGAAGCGTGTTAGCCATAACTCGATGCAAGCTGTACACGACACAGACAAATGAAAAGAGCTGAGGGAGACCTATGTCACAGTATAAGAGGTTCCACAGTAAAACCACTCGTTTGTCGGCACTTTGATCTCATGAAGTAATGCCGGCAAAATACAAAATTGATAATTCACCAGTGGTAGATGCGGCGGAGCAAGCACGCTCCTTTGGTAAACCTTACAGAGCCGTATTAAATCTTTCTGAGCCTACTACTATTATTTATTAAAATAAAAAATGCGGCTTAATGTTAATATTACAAAAACAAAAGGTTTAATAAATAAAAAACAATATTACAATTCAATGTTTATATTTTTCAACGGTATTTAATATATCAACGGTATTGCGCAAGTTTTAAATCTCAATGGTTTTTAATACATTGTACACGTCATATAAAAAGGTTAATTTCGAAGCTCTTACGGCATTACTATTATACTTTGTTTCAAACCAGGAGGAGTAATTCAAATTTACCGCGTTATAACGCTTATTTGTAATTCGTCTAACGGCAAGCAAGTTTAGTCCACTGTTATGAAATTTTGACATTATTGACATTTATGAAATTTTGTCAATATTAACATTCGTAGGTTAATTTGGTTACATTTGCGATTTTTTGTGCTTTATGCATTATTCGTTTAGTTTTAGTTGTAGTCTGCAAAAAAGTAATTAAAATTTGCAATAGTCTTTTCGTCAAATCAATCGCGTAATGTGCAAGAGTACATCAATTAAAATTCAAACTGCTGAAAAGATAACCGTTTATTATATAATATTATGTAGAAAAAGTTTTACATGCTTTTACAGTAAAACCAAATCTTAAAATCACCGTAAATGGATGGAAAAAGTTTTTTAATAGTCTCGAGAAGCTTTTTATATTTTATGGTGATTTTTAGTGACAAATTTAAATAAAAAAAATTCTCTTCGTCTTTCTTATTTTTAACAATTTCAATAATTTTTTAATAAATTAAACGAATATCAACTATTCTAATAATATAAGCCACAATTTAACTTGAAAAAAAAAACGGGTGTGGCAGTCCAGTGGGACTGCCGGTAGAAGTTCTAGAAGTGTACTTCTGTACACACATTCGCCGTTACAAATTTATATGTGAGTCAATCTGCACAATATTTCATATTTAATGCTATAGGGATTGGATTAATATTGTACCAAAGATTGTATCAATATTTTAATAAAAATATATATTTTTATTTTCATATATGTATAAAAGGAGTTGAATGCAAAAAAAAAAATTTTTACATATACTTGCAGTAAAATTCATTGTTTATTTTGTTATTAATATAAAAATTACAATACACTGCAACATAATGCAATAGGTATAATAATACAATACAAATTAAAATGCAATATTCATAAGTATTTAAAACTGCCAATATACATAACTTACTTTACGAAGATAAAAATAAAAAACCAACAACTCGGATTATGTTTAAATTTTCATTTTATTTTAAAATTTAGCATTTTTGCGTATATTACATATATTTAATAACATTAACGTGAAGTTTTTAAATATTTCAAAAATAAAAAAATAAAATTGATATTGGGATTCGAACTCACGTACACCACTATATGAACCAAACACGTAAAAGATTTGCCAATTAGACATGATACTAACGGATTTCAAAATTGACAGTTGTCTGTCATACAGTGATTATTTTAAAATACAAAACCCTAAAATAATTATCAACATTTAATAAATAATACAAAACATATCACATAAATAATAACATTAATATATATTATATTATATATACAATATTATATATATATATATATATATATATATATATAT